CAGCGGGGGAGGGGGGAAGCGAATCAGCCGGCAGGAAGCGGGACTGACCCGGGCACGTGCAGATCCCGGGGCACTGCCCATCCCACGCACAGTCCCGGCGAAGCACAAGTGAGTCCAGTCCCGGGGATTCCATTCCGCCCCCCCCCCATGTCCCCTCAAGTAGTTGCGAACTGCCTGGCTGGTAGAGACACACACAGCCTGAGCACATCTACCAGGCAGGCAGTTCGCAACTACAACTGATACACCTAATAATAATAAAACTTACCTAAAGAGAAAATTCCAGACATTTTATATGTCCGGCATTTTCTCAGTTAGTTTCCCGGATAGAAGCCTCAAATACTAGACTGTCCAGTACAAAACCAGACACCTAGCAACCCTACCCCTCCTTGCACCCTCCCTCCTAGCCAGATACACTACCCTACCCTACCCCACCCCTTCCTCCCCCTGTCTGCTCCTGCTCCCACCTCCTGGAGTGCTTGTGTGACACTGGGTCCCCCAAGCCCTGGCCCAGGCTGGGTGGAGGATGCAGACGGGTGAAACAGTGAAAATTTATTAAATTTTTCATTCTTTTTTTTTAATATGTGTTTATATTTTTGGGCTGCAAAAAAACAGTACTGAACAAAAATGGATTCAACTAAAGTAAAAAGTTTGGGAAACCCTGGTCTAGCCAGCTTTCTGGCCGTCTTACAGTTCATTTATTCAATCCATATTCCCTTAACTTGCTGGCAAGAATATTGTGGGTGACTATATCAAAAGCTTTGCTAAAGCTGGCACTGGGGGCTTTGGGAGGATCAGAAACAACTTATTTGAATATTCATCATTAGTTTGAATATGAAAATATGCAAGTGAATGTTACCGGTCCTCCAAAAGCTTGTGAATGGATTTACTGGTCCCCGTGTCAAAAAGTTTGGGAACCCCTGCTGTAGTGTATCTCAGCCTCAATAAATTAAATAAAAAATCTCTACCGAAGAGACAGAAAATAAGACATGCAAAACAAAAAAGATTGTAAGAGTTTCTCTGGAAAGGTTGTATGAAGAAACAGATTACAGAATGAAAGGGATACTTCCTAGGATACCTTGTTATTCACATACCTTATCCTCTATGTTATTTCCAGGCAGAATATCCACTTGAATAGATACAGTGTCCACAATGCTCTTCCTTCTGGAGAGTCTATCTTCATCTAAACAAAAATAGCATTATCATTTTCTGTATCAGTGAAAGAATGGTAAGGGGCTTCGAATCAGGCCAGAGGGCTGCAGACTAAACAGCTTTTCTAAGGGACACTGCTTACAGTCACCTGAGTGGAGCATCCACAGAGATATCTCTCAAAGGAGAAGAGGATGTTACTCACCTGTGCAGAAACTGACATTCTTCAAGATGAATATCCCTGTGGGTGCTCCACTACCTGCCCTCCTCCCCTTTACTTCGGGTAGGACACTTGTCTGTGGTAGAGAAGAAACCAAAGAGCCTGTCCCATGCATGTGTTATTTATACTCTGACAGCTCATCAGGCAGGCAGAGAATGCATACAATCTGGTGCGGAATAGGGGAGGGGTACTGCTGAGAAAATCTCTGATCAAAGGTGCCAGGGTGCACCCTGACCTGAGTGGAGTACAATGGGACATCTCTTGAAGGAGAACATTATTATTCCTTAATTGACCTCTTGTCTGAGCAATGTTCTTTGCTTTCCAATACTAGACCCGAGACCTACAAAATTTCCTGAGTGTTGAATTTGATATTGTTCCCTTCTATTAATTCAGTTTTGGACTTTCCTATCGTCACATCTTCCTTTGCAAACACGGTATAGTAGTACAAAGCACACACTCAAGCACTCTTTTCAGTAACTTTACATTTGCTGCCTGTCTCTTCAGAAAGACAAGAAATATGGCACGGCATAGTTTCGAAAAATAAGGAGGATTAGTTTTATATCATAAAAAGGACAGAGTGAAAACCAAAACACTTCAGGAGAGACAGGCATGACAACCTGAGATTTCCATACATAACAGAAGCATTAGGTGGGATTAATTTAGCAAATAACTTAATCTTACTTGTACATTGAACCACAGCTGGATATGTATTTTAATATGGTTGCCAGAGATACTCCACATTATTAGAGGTATTTTAGAGAAGATGGTTCAAATTTAATTTTCAAACGCAGAATTGCTATTCCCTCCTCCATCCATGAGACTGTATCAGAGGTAGGAATGTTATAGCATAGTCAATTAACTGATAAGCAAAAGCTTATAGGTTAACACTACAGACTACACGCATTTCCTTCCCCCACCCTCCCAGCAATACATTTTTTAGCAGACAGGCCAGCAGCCCAGCTCAGTTCCAGCTTGCACTTGGTCCTGGACTTATCCCTGCGGCAGCTCTGCATTTAAAGTGTATTAGGAGCCAGGCGTACAGGCAGCCCGGTTCAGTTCCAGTTCATGCCAGATCTGGGAGCTCAGACTCCTCCCCCTGGACAGGGGCTGCCCAGGGGCTATAGAATAGTTGACTAACCAATAAAAATTCATGAGGTTAATTGGCTATTCAATTAACTGATATTTAACATACCTAATGAGAGGCAGCAGCGCAGGGTGGGAGCTGGTGTTTGCGAAGAGTTGGCTTTTAAGCCAGCTCCCCGCATGTACTGGCTCTTATGGAGCCATCTGCCCTGCCTCCATCAGAGACAGCAGCATGGGGGAGGAGGATGTGCTTGCAGGGAGCTGGCTTATTCATTTATTTTGGTGAATGTATACCAGCTGAAAATTTCAGTAGGTACATATTTACACACCGGGGTTAAGCAGGCAGCAACGTGCGGTAAGGGGGGGGAGCTGGCTTAACATGCCACCACCACCACCACCACCACCGTGTGTACCTACTGAAAATTTCAGTTGGGTACAAGTTTACCAAAATAAACAAATTTTAACATCCTATTAAGTATATTAGCCAGACACATGCACTTTCAGAACTAGACACCACTATATTAGAAGATTAATACTATATTCTCCAAACTGTAAAATAGTGCAGGCTTTACAAAGATTTTTCCACAGGAAATAGTTTCCTTCATTCTGTCTGAATCCTACTGTGCAGAAGAGGAAAGACTGGCAAACATGAGATGCTAGATGATCTATAACAAATTTAATTATATTGGACAATTTCAGAAAGACAACAGTGCTATTCTTTCTTTACCATCAGGCAATTCAAAAGAATAAAGCATCAAAGGTCTCCATTGCAAGACAGAGGAAAATCAAAAGCAGGATACATAGCTAGTGATCCATGTTTGAATGATAGTAAAATCTTTGAAAATGACAACTATGAACAAGAGAGAAAAGCAGAAGGCAGACCTGTTAAAAAAATCTCTGAATAAAGAAAAACACAAAGATGTTGTATCGGTTGGTATCTACTATAGACCATCTATCCAAGAGGAGGCGAAGGATGAGTCTTTTGAAACTACCAAAATCATCCAGAACACTGGACTTGGTACCAATGACGGACTTTATTTTCCCAATAGATGTCTGAGCTGTTAAGGTGGAACACCATCTCTCGGTTCCTGTGCAGCCACAGGAAGGGGCAGGAGGAGCACTCCTGCGCAGGAACTTGGAGATGAGCACTCCCCCGCCTGGAGGCTAGCGGCTGTGTAGTGGGGGAAAAGGGCAGGGGAGCGCTCCTGCGCAGGAACTGGGAGCTGAGCGCTCCCCCAGCTGGAGGCTGTGCAGCGGGGGAAGGGGTCGGGGAGCACTCACTACCAGGTGAATAAAAAACTTTTTGTATACCCCACACCCAAGTATACCCCGCACGGGGGGTGCGGGGTTTGTAAAAACAAATATAACCTGCGGGTTATATTCGCTAAAATATGGTAGTAGACCACAAGCTAAATATGAGTCAGTGTAACACTGTTGAAAATAAAGCAAACACATACTGGGATGTAGTAGCAGGAGTGTTATAACCAAGACACGAGCAGTAATTCTTTCGCTCTACTCTGTGCTGATTAGATCTCAATTGGAGTAGTGTGTCCCATTCTGGGTGCCATATTTCAGGAAAGATGGGGATAAAGTGCAGAGATGAGCAACTTATGAGAGAATATTGAAAGAATTGGGTTTATTTAAGTCTGAAAAGAGAAGACAGAGGGGACATGAAAACAGCTATCAAGTACCTAAAAGGTTGTCACAAGGAGGAAGGGGAAAAATTCTTCCTCTTAACCTCTGAGGATAGTATAAGAATCAATGGGCTTAAATTGGAGTAAGGATGATCATCAGGAAAACTTCTTGTCAGTGTGATTAACACACTGGAATAAATTGCCTAAGAAGGTGGTGAAAGCTCCATTATTGGAGATGTTAAGAGCCAATTAGACAAACATCTGTGAGGGGTGATCTACATGGTGCTTGGACCTGACATGACTGCATGGCACTGGATTTGATGACTTAGCAAGGTTTCTTCCAGTCCTACAATTCCACTATGTAGTTTTTAGTGGTCCACAACTGATCTGGAAGGATATATCAACAGGGGTCCTGCAGGAATCTCTCCGGGATCTAATTCTATTAAAATCTTCATAAATTATATGGGTAAGAGCATAGAGAGTATGCTTTTAAAGTTTGGATGACATCATACAGGAAGGGGCTGCAAGCACTCTGGAAGGCAGTATTGGAATTCAAAGTGATCTTGACACACTTGGTCTGAAATAAAGATATGGACAAATTACAGGCAGTCGAGAGAAGAACAACAAAAATTATTAAAAGTCTAGAAAAAATATGACCTACAAGGAAAAACTGGAAAAAAAAAAAACAAACAAAAAAACCTGGAGAAGACCGCATGGACACGATAACAATATGCAAGTGTGTTAAAGACTGTTATAAAGTAGGTGATAAATTGTCTTTTTATCCACTGAGGGAAAGGATAAAAAGTAATGGTCTTAAATTGCAAAGGAAAATTAAGTCAGACATTAGGAAAAACCTCCTAACTGCATTCTAGTGCTTAACTACCCTTATATGTATATATGGAGGTTGTGGATCGTCACCAGCCATGGTTTGCAAGAACAAGTTAGACAAACACTGCTAGTGATAGAAATGTAGCCGTGTTAGTCTGGTGTAGCTGAAACAAAATACAGGACTATGTAGCACTTTAAAGACTAACAAGATGGTTTATTAGATGATGAGCTTTCGTGGGCCAGACCCACTTCCTCAGATCAAATAGTGGAAGAAAATAGTCACAACCATATATACCAAAGGATACAATTAAAGAGAGAACACATATGAAAAGGACAAATCAAATTTCAGAACAGAAGGGGGATGCGGGTAGAGGTAAATGTCTGTGAGCTAATGGTATTAGAGGTGATAATTGGGGAAGCTATCTTTGTAATGGGTAAGATGTTAACACTTACGTTACGTCTCAGACTGATGACCTATCAAGGTCCGTTACAGTTCTATACATTTCTATTATTTTTACGAAAACCAAAATAAACTATTTTGTAATTTCATTGAGTAGCTGAGATTTCAATTAAAATTGTTTTGCATCATAAGATCTGACTATAATGAACATAAAGTGTTTAGATTAAATACATTATATAAGTCTAAGAAAAAACTATCCAAATAAAACCTGATAGTCACTTAAACAGTACTTTAGTATCAGTTACATGATAACCAAAATAAAAAGACCAGGCTAATTAAAAACTCATGCTTCAGGGCATCACACAGAGTCCAGAGGAATTTTACTCCATAGTACTGCACTGCACAATGAGGTATTTTTTACATCTTACTTTGAAGATCTGGTATTGGAGGCTATAACCCAAGTGCTGCAACTGAACCTACATGGGCTAAACTTTGCATACATACAGAGGACCACTGGTAATATCTGGTATATTTCTTTTTTTTCCAGTATGGCTATTTTCAAGTAAATTCAGGAGCTTTCATCCCCCAGAGAGTAGAGAAGGAACCAAATTTTATTCTCTCATATTAGTGTGTTTACAGAGACAAAAATATGTGTTTACAAAACTATTCAAAATCCTATAGAGCTTGATTTTGGACACTGAGATTTCAATACAGAATCCACCTACTGGTAAGCAAATGATTTAGAACAAGTATCAGAGGTTAGTCTGTTAGTCTGGATCTGCAAAAGTGACAAGAAATCTGGTGGCACCTTACAGACTAACAGATGTATTGGAGCATAAGCATTCATGGGGAAAGACCCACTTCGTCAGATGCATGTCACATGCATCTGACGAAGTGGGTCTTTTCCCACGAAAGTTCATGTTCCAATACATCTGTTAGTCTATAAGGTGACACAAGATTCCTTGGTGATTTAAAACAGCAACTTTCAAAATACGGGTTGCAACCCAGTACTGGGCCCCGCAAAGTCAGGCACTGGGTTGCCTTGCTGTAGGGTGAGAAGGTGACCAGCTGCGCTGCTAAAAAGCCAGCTTCCTGCCTATCCTGCCACTGTGGACCATGCTATGCCCTAGATTAAGCGTTCAGCAGCAGGTTTGGCTGCTAGGTGGAGGCAAGCAGCCAACTCTCACAAGATAAAAAAATAAAACAATCCAAAAAATGAAGTTAATCCCATTTAAAAAAAAGCCCAAAATGAGCTCCATCCATTTTTGCTCAACAATGCCTGGTAACAATCTAGAAACCAGCCAATAGATGTGTAGAGCCAGAGCTTGGGGAGGGGCAGCATGTGGAGCTGGACCTGACGCTGGCCACTTCCAGGGTGCAGTGCGGTCCACTGTACCAGGACAAGCAGGAAACCTGACTTACCATCCCATTGTATCACTGACTGGGAGACACCAGAGTTAAACCTGTGTCCCCACAATGCCGTCCCAGCCCTGAGCCTCTCCAAATCCAGAAACCCGACTTGCAATCCTAGACACAGATCTCAGACTTTGTGAATCCCAGTGGTTTTTCCAGTGCTTAAAAGTTAGGCTTGGAATTGCTCAGCATCACCAGGCCTAAATTCGTTTGAGTTTAGCCTTCCATACCGTAACCCCTTGGCCCATCCTGATCTCTCTCCAGCTTTCAAACTTCCTCTCAGAGCCTGCAACACCCTCCAGCCCAGATGCCCTGCCCACACTTTGAACCCCTTATTTCTGGGCCCACCGCAGAGCCCACACCCCCAGGCAGAGCCCTTACCCCCTGCACTCTCAACCCCTCATCACTGCTGCCCCACCCTAGAGCCTGCACTCTAGTCCAAAGATATAATTATGTTGAGTCACTGGCATCAACAATTTTCTTCAACTAGGTTGCAAGAAAAAAAAGTTTGAAAAACTCTGATCTAGAATGTAAGCTCCCATTACTTTCTCTTCCAACTTTCAATGTTTAAAATGTTCTTCACACCCTACTGTACTCCAGATTAATTTACAAAGTGCAGTAGATAGTCCTGAGTAACTCCCATTTGTGAACATGCTTATTCTAAAATAGAAGTGCAGAACAGTGAGACCACAACAACATGGGTATGGGGAATAGGCTAACCCAGGTGCCAAACACTTAGTTTCACCATTCTGTACAGATACACCCAATTGCAAATCAATACACTGTCATGCTCTTGACTGTGCAGTCTTAAACAATGGCTGTATAAAATGTTAATAACCTCATTCATCTCTATGGGATGCATGCACTTCACCTAACCAGGATATTTAAAGGACTACATTATTTTACTTTTTTTTGCTAACCCAGGTGCCAAACACTTAGTTTCACCATTCTGTACAGATACACCCAATTGCAAATCAATACACTGTCATGCTCTTGACTGTGCAGTCTTAAACAATGGCTGTATAAAATGTTAATAACCTCATTCATCTCTATGGGATGCATGCACTTCACCTAACCAGGATATTTAAAGGACTACATTATTTTACTTTTTTTTTTTTTAACCTGAAACATTGAGCTATTGTGCTTGCTTTATGAACCCCAAAATCCTTTGAAACTTCCTGGCAAACCGAAAGACCCAATTGTCCCAGATTCCGCTACGATAACCACCATCTGCTTCCTATAACTTCTATATTGTAATCATGCAATTTCAGTACAAAAACCTGTGGCATAATAAATGTGTAGAACAGGCTGAAAATAAGTTGAAATGTTTTATTTTCATGTTCACAAGAGCTAGTGACATTATTATTCATTTTCACAATAAAAACATCAATTTTAAAATTTTAAAAAACAAATTTTAGTTAAGCTATTAAATTGTTGGGAAAAGAAGCCACCGTATTTTAGAATTCCAAGACTTGGAAGAAAATCCAAGGGAAACCTGATAAAATTACAGCTATAAAACTAATTATGATATGAGGACTGAGACAGAAAAAAAAAAAAACAGGAGGAAAACTAAGAAACTAAAGCTATTCACAACAGAATTTGTGGCCTATTTGGGTTATCTAAAGGTTTTCTAAAAGCTGTTTGTTTAGTTGGGTATGTCCTATCTATACAAGACAGCTACGAGGAGTGCAGGCAGACCCTATAGTTCAGATTTACCTTTTGATTTGTGTCTGTACTTATGAGGCTTTTTGCCTGATGGAAATAGAGCTAAATTAAGAAAACAAGAATGAGAATAAAAACGTGTTTAACTATCAGCTATAAAGCAAAAGATGCAGGAAAAATAAGACAAATTTTATTGCTCGGATAAATAATAATACTAGTGCAGTATTAGTGACTGGCATGAAAGTAGATAGATAGAAGAGCTTTAGACTTATCTTACAATAACACTATTAAGGTTCAAAACATTGAGGGTATGTCTACACTACAAAGTTAATTCGACATAACAGCAGTTATTTCGAATTGTCTTTAATAGCGTCTACACAGGCAAACCGCTATTTCGAAATAAATTTGAAATAGTGGAACCCTTATTTCGAATTTGGTAAACCTCATTCTACAAGGAGTAACACCAAATTTGAAATAGCTATTTCGAATTAAGTGCTGTGTAGACACTTAATTCGAAATAGGGGGCCTCCAGCCCTTCCCAGGGAGCCCTGGTGGCCACTTTGGGCACAACCAGAAAAGCTTACTCTACTCTCCTCTCCTCCAGCCCCGGAGACATTAAAGGGGTAGACCCTGGCCACAGTGCCTGTGCCAGCTCCAAGCCTGCCAGCCCAGAGCCAGCAGTGACCACCAGGGGCCCTGACCCAGTGGCCCCAAAACATGAGCCAGCAAACCAGCCCTCCGCCACTCCCCAGGATCAGTCTGCAAGAGGCGGGGGCCCACCTGGTCTAGTGCGGAGATAGTGGACCTCATCGAGGTTTGGGGAGAGGCCTCCAATGTCCACGACCTCTGCACGTGCCACAGGAAAGCAGCCGTCTAGGTCAGGATAGCTGCCAGCCTGGCCACCAAAGGCCACATGCGAACCCAGGAGCAGATCTGCATGAAAATCAAGTTGGTCCAGCGAGACCCCCAACCCTGAGCTTCCCCTCCCCCTTCTTCCCCTTGCTTCCCACTTCCAGCTCCCTCCTCCCAGGTTTCCCCCTCTCCTCTCCCAGCCTCTCTCTTCCCCACTCCCACCTCCTTTTCCCAGTCTTCCCAGAGGTTCATCTCCCCCATCCCAGTTTTGTTCAATAAACCCAGTTCCTATTTTTGAACATACGTGTCTTTTATTTGACATCAGGAAGGGGGGCTAGGGAGGGTAAGTGGAAGGACGTGAGGGAGGAATGGGGCACGAGCCCCTGGTGGAGAGGACTGGGGAGGCTCTGAGGGCTTCTCGGGTGGACGCTCTCCCTCAGGGCCTCCTGGATCCTGACAGCCCCCTGATGGACACCCTGGATGGCAGCCTGCAGCAAGTGCAGCTGGGCTGATGGCAACGACCCCACGAGACGCACTGGCGTGCCCGGGGCAGCTCTGGCTCCATGTGGCCGAGTGCTGTGGTGTCCTGAGTGCGGGCACTCAGGGCACTGCAAGACAGGACTGCTTTGCTGTCCCTCATCGAAGTAGACATTCAAGAAATACTTTTTAATAAAATTGAAGTGGGATCAAACAAACTTTCCTCTTTGTGGCAATTTTTAAAGGATGCAGAAAATAATTCTAAGAGTTAAAATCCTGTGTGGTAAACTATCCAGTACACCATGAAAACAATATTTTTTCTGAGGACAACAGGAATTGTACTGCCACTAAAAAAATGAACATAAAGCATTCAAGTTGCATACAGGCCAGATATGGTTAAAAAAGTAGACATGAGATAAAAATGAATTTTTAGTAGCTGCCGTGGTAACATTTGTGTCATCAATTACTGCTTACCTGTTACTTGGGGCACATATGGCACCGACAATCTTTCCACGCTGTATCCACTGCCACCTAGTGATTCTGCAATCTTGTTGGTCAGGAAAAACAAGTTTTTTTCATGCTTCTCCAGAGATTTGGGAAGACTGTTAAATTATGAATATTTAGCAATTAATATTTATTGATACAGATCTATGCATGTAATAAAATAAATCAATCATATTAGAAGTCAATCACAATAAGTCAGTGTTGATGTTTCAATAGAAAACAACAGAGCTAAATTGGTTATTGATCTATTCAAAACTAACTTCTCTCAGAAGAGTAGCCCTGTCAGTCTGTAATTTTAAATACCATGAGCAGCCCTGTGGCACCTTCGAAACTAACACACATATTAGGTTATGAACTTTCATAGGTAAAACCCACTTCATCATCTACACCAAATCCAACTCATCTGATCTGCTCATTGTTTCCAATGTCTCTGTATATAATTTTTTTTAAAATATTTTCTAGGTGTGTTAGCACAACACACCTAGACAATCTGGAACTTAATCATTACTGTTTATTCTTCTCTTGCTCTAGGAGTTGCTAAAATATTCTTCATCTCCCTTTAATTGACCAGCTCAAAGTAATCACAAATAAAAGAGAAATTCTAATAATCAGATAAGTTTACAATCAAGAATAACTTTACCAATAATCTTTCATGAATTTGAAAGATCATGCAGCCAATTAAATGTGGCTCTTCACTTCAGAAGGGTTTAGGATACCACACTGCATTTTAAAGTTACACAGAGTACTAATAAAAGACCTAATATTGCTCATATGCTATAGCAAGATGAACCTTACTGCTGAGTAACTTTAAGGAATTAAAAATAAGAATTCCCATCTTATCTTTAATACATTTCATTCCCAATCTATATGTCATTCTTTCTGTGCCACGTCTCCATAGATTCACCCTACTTCTCTTTTTTGAAATAAAAATATTTTTCATGTTCTGTCATGCACAAATATTTAATCTACATACACACACTTGTCTTTGAAGATATTTTCTGGTAAAAAATAGGGTGCTTCCACAGTTCGCGTTTCAATGACCTGAAAAACAAGCAGAGTAACACAGGCTGTCTTGAAGTCAATTAAACAAACTTTTCATTCTTATACTTACATGTTTAATATTTATTTGTGCATGCATAATATCATAGCAGATGCCACCACCATGGTAAATTACTAGTTTGAATGAGCTAAGATATATTTTCCCTTAAACTAATTAATATCCAAAGTAACTATTTTGTTTATTTTAGAGTGTTTGCCAGATTCTCAGGTGGTGTAAATCAGCATGGCTTCTCTGAAGGCAATGGAGCAATATGTTTTACACTAGCTGAGAACTTGGACAATAAATATAAAATTCCAATTATAATGAAAAGTAATATAGGAGAATAAATTTAAAATGCTACATTAGAAGAGGTGATAGTTAAAACAGTATGCACATATACAGTTGTACAATTGTAGTCTGCAATTTCCATTGAGCTTATAGACTGCAGCACGGTAGTATTATATTAGCAGTCAGATAAATTATGAGCGTTAATTTTTACTATACAGTCTCTGGAGAGAGAGTTGACTTAACTCACAGTAAGTCCAGCTTCATAGACCCGAGATTCTGTGGTAAGAAATGTAGTCTCAAACATATCTACTAAGTCAGGCCATTGCAACGGATATGATGACAACACAAATTATGCTATTAAGAGGGTATGCTTATAAGGCAAAAATGATAATAATGGCAATATCTTTGTATATTCTATTGATTACATCTAGTCTTTCAAAGCTTTACATCAATCAGCATGTTGGCATGCTAAAATAGTAAAAAGAAAAGAATGACAGAAGAAACAGTTAGCAAAAGTTATTTAATTGTTGTCATGTAGGAAATGCCATGATGAATATCGAAGTGGCTGATTTTTATACTACCTTGCTGACATGCTGGCAAAAGGCAGGGACTGCAATCATCTGACTTAGAAAGTTAAGGTAGGCTGCAACCAGCGCCATAACACCACAGCGATTGAACATTGGTAAGTTATCCTCATTAATGATGGCAATGTCCTACAATAAAAAGGAAAACATTTAATGGCCCAATGTTTACAAATTATTCTAAATTTACATGAATGTTTCATAATCATTGTATGTACACTACTAACTAGTGCCTTGTATCTGAAGGTTTCAGCGCAGTTCACAGCACACCCTCTTATCATTCTTGAGGTAGGTAAGCAATAGCTGCACTTTACACTTGGGAACAGCTAATAAGGGAATGTAAGGACTCACAGTTACACCGTGGCTACGTCTACACTGGCCCCTTTTCCGAAAGGGGCATGCAAATTTTAAACTTCAGTATAGGGAAATCCCCCGCGGGATTTAAATAAAGATGTCCGCCGCTTTTTTCCGGCTTGTAGATAAGCCGGAAAAAAGCGTCTAGACTGGCCCGATCCTCCGGAATAAAGCCCTATTCCAGAGGATCTCTTATTCCTACTTCAAAGTAGGAATAAGAGATCCTCCGGAATAGGGCTTTATTCCGGAGGATCGGGCCAGTCTAGACGCTCTTTTCTGGCTTATCTACAAGCCGGAAAAAGCGGCGGACATCTTTATTTAAATCCCACAAGTATGACAGAACAAAGCCCAGGGCTACCCCCATAGAATATGAATGACTCTTGAAATCTAAGGGTTATTTGTGTCCTATGGTTAGGGCCCAACCAAATTCACAAACCATTTTGGTCAATTTCAGTCATAGAATTTTAAAAATGGTACATTTCATGATTTCAGATATTTAAATCTGAAATATCATGACACTGTAATTGTAGGATATTGCTATCCTTACTTCTGTGCAGCTGCTGGCACAGCATAGCCTTCAGAACTAGGCAGCTAAAGAGCAGTGGCTGCTGGCCAGGAACCCAGTTCTGAAGGCAGAGCGACAGCCAGCAGCAGTGCAGAAGTAAGGATGTATGATATGGTATCACCACCTTTACTTCTGTAGAGTTAGGCCCTATGTCAGCAACTGCCATTCTCTGGACACCTAGCTCTGAAAACAGCAGTACAGAAAGAAGGGCAACACCGGTATGGTATTGTCACCCTTATTTTTGTATTGTTCCTTGGCAGGGCATTGCCTTCAGAGCTGGGTACCCAGCCAACGTTACAACCACCAGTCTCCAGCTGTCCAGCTTTAAAGGCAGCGCAGAAGTAAGGGTAGCAATACTATGACAGTTCTAAAGTAACCTTGTGATCTCCCTGCAACTCCCTTTTGGGTCAGGACCCCCAATTTGAAAAATGCTGAAAATGCTCCGCCGTGAAATCTTTACAGCATAGGGTAAAAGCACACAAAAGACCAGATTTCATGAAAGGACACCAGATTTCACAGTTTGTGATGCGTTTTGCATGGCTGTGAGTTTAGTAGGGCCCTACCTATGTTGGCAAAGGGTGTCTTGATATTTAATCCTGTGCTTTCCCTATAAAGCCTCCTTCCCACCTCAATGCAGCATTTCCAGGGAATTCAACTATTTAAAGAGATAAGAACATAAGAACAGCCATACTGGGTCAGACTACGGTCCATCTAGCTAGCCAGTATCCTGTCTGCCGACAGTGGCCAATACCAGATGCCCCAGACAGAGGGAACACAACAGGTAATCCTCATGTGATCCCTCCCGTCACCCATTTCCAGACAAACAGAGGCTAGGAACACCATTCTTACCCATCCTGGCTAACAGCCATTGATGGACGTAATCCCCATGAATCTATCTAGCTCTTCTTTGAATGCTGTTAAAGTCCTAGCCTTCACAACATCCTCTGGCAAGGAGTTCTACAAGTTGACTATGCACTGAGTGATGAAAAACTTCCTTTTGTTTGTTTTAAACCTGCTGCCTATTAATTTCATTTGGTGACCCCCTAGTTCTTATATTGTGGGAATAAGTAAATAACTTTTCTTTATTCAATTTTTTCCATGCCAGTCATAATTTTATAGACCTCTATCATATCCCCCCTTAGTCTCCTCTTTTTTAAGATGAAAAGTCCCAGTCTTTTTAGTCTCTCTTCATATCGGACCCGTTCCAAACCCCTCATCATTTTTGTTGCCTTTTTCTGAACCTTTTCCATTGCCAATACATCTTTTTTTTTTTTTTTTACATGAAGCACAACCACATCTATACACAGTATTCAAGATATGGCATACCATGGTTTTATACAGAGGCAATAAGATATTTTCTGTCTTATTCTCTATCCCTTTCTTAATGTTTTCTAACATTCTATTTGCTTTTTTGACTGCCACTGCACACTGAGTGGATTGGTCTCTGAAAACATCCACAACGACTCTAAGATCTCAATTGAGTAACTGTAGCCAAATTAGTCCTTGTATGTATAAGACAAAGGACGTAAGAGGATTTAAAAACTTGGACAAAATATTGGTTGAGTCACAGGCAAAACACATATATAATAGCTCCTTAATCTTTAGCATCTCTCTGGAGATAAGCGATTAAACTGTTAGAAAGGAGAGGTGACTTGTACAGCACCCACAATAAGTCACTAGAAAAGCCAGGATTACTGCTCAGGACTTATTTCTATCCAAATTCTTCTACTGTTCCAATAACCATGGTATCTAAACTGTTTGAATCCATACTACTGTTCATTCTTCCAGATGACACTGCCTTTCAAAGGTATTTAGCAAACTCTTTTATACAAATAAATAAGTGGCCTATTTTCCAAAGATGCTAGGAAGCTGCTGGTTCTTATGCCACATATTTAGATTTCTACCATGTTTCTGTTTCTGGTATGTAAAACCCAACCCAAATTAAAATCATATAAGTGAATGTGAATAGCTGAGATGGATATCTACTTATAGGCATCCGTAAGACACATACATCATAGCAAAAGAATGTCTTACACTATTAAATGTATATCAAATTAACTTGACGGTAAAGTGTCTTTCTTTGAAGTTGGTTCCCAGGTCTGGTAAAACTCTTCCCATTACCTAGCCAGTCCAAATAAGTATCTGGTTCATTGATGGCTTTGAAAATTATAAAATACATTCTACATTAACATTTTCTTGATGCAAGAATGGACATACAAGGAAAGGGCTAGTAACAGAGATAACTGAAGTTCAGAAAGCGTGTTGTGATACTATAGTTTCTATGGTATATACCGACACCCAGGAGGATTTACAGGGCCCTAAACTCAGATGTGGATAAAATATTACAGATGTAAAAAAATTGCTAACAAACAACTTTCTTCATTATGATTATTATTGCTAGGCAGCATTGCATGCTGTTAAATTGTGTTTATATATAGAAGAAATATCAAAGAATAAACACTTTAACTGAATTGCCAAGATTTTAGTCCACTTAAGTGAAAGAATTAGCAAATCAAACTTTTCCAACGAGTCCAATTGTACATGCCATGCTGAATGTGGTATGCATGATTATCTGCATTGTAGGGAGGTGGGGTGTGTGTGTGTGTATTTGGTGCAAGCAACTCATGGCCCTCACAACAGTACAGGCTCTTAAGACCAGAAGGGGCGAAGGAAGAGAGAGGTATATAGATGAAACTTTCAATGACACAATAGAATAATCCCACCAAACCTGACAGCCTCTGTGCTGTTGAGGAGAAAGAGAAGGAAAGACTTTGGGAATGACACCACTAAGCTGGAACAGAAGGAAATTATCCCATAGTTAGGACTCTCCTTCCTGATGATAATATAATATCCGTTCATGCTGAGAATACCCCTTTATGGGAGGGGATTTCTGTTATTAGGAAGAAACAAATAATAGTTATGGGAGAGTCAAGTAATGTAGATTGTTGGGTTTGTAATGACTGGGAGAACTGCATAGTGAAAGTAGGAGAGATGTTCTGCAGGCCAAATTTAGGCTTTTTGGTAAGATATTAAAATCTAGAACCTCCATGAAATGTTCTGGACCGCTCTGAAATGCTTGCAGTTCCAGGCACAGGGCCAGTTAGACAGGTAGAACTATAGGATCTCAATGAGTGGGAAACAATGGTTTTTGGAGGAGGGACTCATGTTGAGTAGGAACCAAGGAGCCTTTTGGGAAAGGAGGAGTACACACAGAAATGACAGGCTTCACCTCAACCAAATTTGAAGAAAGACTGCTGGTCTCTAAGTCATAAAGGAGTTTTAAAACTAACTTTGGGTAAAGCTGACAGATGAGTAGGAATGTGGTTTAGACAGAGGCATGGGGGGGGGGAGATATTCTATATCCTAATAAAGAGTAGAAGACAGACATTGGTAAAGTCCAGGTAGAAACTGAAGAGAAACAGGTAAACAAAAAGAGTAATATAATTACATCACATGAAAGTGGACAACTATATGCTGACCAATTTTATAGGTGCTTGTATGCAAATGCTATAATTCTAAATACTAAAACGGGTAAACTTTTCTTGGAGTAGCTAATTGTACAGCACACAAGAATGGAGACAATTTTTGATTTAGTCCTCCATTCAGGACAGGATCTGGTCCAAGATGTGAATAAAGCTGAACTCCTCAGTAATAATGACCACAATATAATTACTGTTAACTCCCGGGGGAAATGAGGGGAAGAAAAAAGAAGCCAACCACTGTATAAATTAATTTCAAAAAAGGGAACTACACAAAAATGAGACGGCTAGTTAAACAGAAATTAAAAAAGAATAAAAAGTGAAATACCTACAAGCTGCATGAAAACTATTTAAAAATACCACAAGAGGCTCAAACTAAATATTCCCCTCTCCCCCAATATATATAAAAACCAAACAAAAAAAACCCCACAAAAAACAAAAAAAGCCAAGATATACAAAAAATGCTACCATGACTAAACAGATTAAGAGGCAAAAGAACATTCCTTCAAAATTGTAAAACACAGCTTGCTGAAGAAAATAGAAAGGAGCATAAACACTGCCGAGTCAAGAGCAGAAGTACAACTGGGCAGGCTAAAAAGCAATCAGAAGAGCAACTAACAAGAGATCATTTTTTTTTGCTGTTAGTTTTGTATGTACATCACATGCAAGAAGCCTGCCAAGCAATCATTGGGGACACTGGAGGATCCAGACACTGTAGCACTCAAAGAAGGCTCTTGCAGAGAAATTAAATGAATGACTAACACTGGTTTGCAGAGGATGTAAGGGAGATTCCCAAATCTGAGTCATTTCTGTACAAAATGACCTTAACTAGAAAAATGATACAAGACGAAAACATATGTCTAGGTGAACACTTCCCACAAATCAATCTCTCCGAGTTCTCAGTAGTCATCTTCAAAGGAAGCTTGTACAACATCTTCAAAGGGCAAGCCTCGGAGCTTAAATTCATAACTTTGAATCATGCTCTCAATAGTGTGACAGGGAATTTATTGCACATTACAACAATCTGCAACCCACCAATCTTCCTTTGTCCTAATACCGAAAAGGTATTAACTGGTCAGTTCACTTTGAATGGTCTCTTGTAATGTATGTTAACTCCTTTTATTAAACAATCTGCTGCACCTTGTATTTAGCTGAGACAGAGGTTTTTCCCCCTCAGACCTGAAGAAAAGTTCTGTGCAAACCTGCTTCTTTCGTCAACAGAAGTTAGTCCAATAAAAGATCCCTCACCCACCTTGTATTCATAAATATACCATGAACAGATTAATCCAGATTTAATTCCTAAATTTACCTGCAAGGCAATGGCCAGTCGAATGAGGTCAATAACCACTTCTTCATTAGCTAGTTCAATTGTGATAAGAGCTAGAGAAGTGTACAGCAGCTCAAAATTTTTTTGGACATTGTCTTCTTCTTTACAGCCTAAGTAGATGTGCCTGTACAACTGCTGTCCATGCTATAAAGTGCAGAAAAGGGACATTCAATACTGCAAATATTATTCAATAAAGGTTATTTTAAAATAATTCACCAAACAGTTTAATAAACAGAACAGCACTACAGGAAACCCTTGTCATTCATGGTGGATGCATTCCTGGCATCACCGTGAATGGCAAAATTCACAAATATTGAGAGCTGAGGCTTCCGGCCCACAGGGTGAGCTCCTTGTGGCTCTGGGAACCATGGGAAACACACTGCGGCTCCTGGCCCCAACTGCCTCCCCCAGATAAGGCCAGGCGACCCCTGTGAATATGCAGAACTGCAAACAGTGATTTGGAAGGGTCTCCTGTAATTTTCCATATGTTCAATTCAATTTTAGAGTAATATGCCATTTTGTGTTTCTATCCTGAAATATCCAAGCCGTGTGACTCAGTTAAATGTTCATGTGGTTACCTGATGTAATTTTGTACCAATTCTCTTTCTTAAGCATATTAACGCCAGTTCCCTGAAAATTGGGGTGACTGCTAGGCCACTTATCCACACTAAATTTCAAGGTTTTATGCTAAGTGCTTAGGTTAATGGCTTATAGGATACAGCCCTAAAGATTCCTTGTGTTATTTCTAAGTAAAGTAAAGTGCTAAAGCTAGTTCTATAGGCTACAAATGTTGTCTTTAAAAAAAACTGCTGAGGATTAGACCTTCTAGTGGAAGACCACACTGATGACACTCATGCTCTACATGAATCTAGCTGCATGGAACTTACTTCAATATTAGGCTTAAAGCCATTAAACCCTGATTCTGCAAAGACATACACAAATAACTTTATGCATGTGAGTACTCCCACTGATTTGAGACTGAGTACACAGAACTCTCTTAGAAATGCTGTACCATCTTGCTTTTAAAGATGCTACAAGTTAAAACAAACTTATAATTTTATATTGAGATTTTTAATTTGATGTGAAAATGTAGCAAAAAAAGACAAGTTAATGATTCATCTACTTTATAAGATAATTGTTTCATGCTATTACCTTCTTAATGAAGCTCACATCTTGCCTTGAAATTTTGTCTCGTTTTATCTTTAGATCAGAAACATCTGGTATTATTCTACAAAGGCAACAAAGTATGTCATTTTAATAAAATCCTATAATAAAATTATAAAATACACTATTTATAACTTTAAGGGAAGTTGTGTGGAGAAAAATAGATTAATATATATGAGCTATTCAAAACAGTTTTGTAATTTCCATGTTAATTATACCCATCTTTAACAATCAAATTCAATGTTCAGTTTTAAAGGAAGGAAACAAAAGTAATCATGACTCAAACAGAGAAGATTGCATTTTACAGAGCAAAAAGTATCTCCTACAAAGCAATAATATAGTTATAAACTTAATTAAACTAACAACAATTCAGCATGTCCATTTAATAAACCAGGGGTAGGTAATAATTTTTGATGGGGGCCATTCCAAGGTTTTGGTAAGTGGTCAAGGACTGCAAGTGCAGGGTCTGGGATGGAGGCTGGGTGCAGAAGGGAACTCAGGGTGGGGTGATGGGTACGGGGTATGAGAAGGAGTATGGGTGAAGGGAGTTGTGACCTGGGGCAGGGGATTTGGAAGGAGTCTAGGAGGAAATATGGGTGCAAGAGAATACTGGCCTGGGGGAATGGTACAGGAGAGGGTGGGAGTTGTGACCTGGGGACAGGGGGTAGAGAGGTATTGGGTGGTGACCTAGAGCAAGAGGGGGTGGTGTCCTGGGGCAGGGAATTGGGGTGCAGGAGGGGCTAGAGTGCCAAAGGGAGGCGCTGGCCGGGAGGCACTTATCTAAGCGGCTCCTGGCCAGCAACCGAATGGGCTTCTGTGCCAGACTCCCTGATTGCCCCAGAGCTCAGAGTGGCTGGTCTACTTGCCTCTCTGTGCCGCATGGGTTGGGGGAATCTATGTGCACTACCCCTCCCTGTCACCAGCACAATCTCTCAGCTCCCATGGACTGGTCCAAGCAAATGGGAGCTGAGAGACTGTGATGGGGGCAAGGGCAGCCAATGGGAGCTGAACAATTGGGCTGGGGGTGGGACAGAGTCCAAAAGGTTCTCCCACCTACCTACATAGATGCAGAGGGAGCAGCTGCTCTGAGCCCTGGGGTTGCTCCCTGCCTGCCTGAGGGTCCCAAGTGAGTGGCCATGGGCCAACTGAAAGGATTGGTGGGCCATATCTTGCCTGCCTCTCAGCTAAGGAATTGCTCCTCTATGATTTAAACATAATAAAATACCAATAAAATTGATTGTTCCAGCTATTACACAGCAGACCCCCATTTGTCACATCGAACTGGAACTGGGGCCAGTCAGATCATCAAAAATTCAGATAATCAGAAAAATGGAGATGTGCGAGGCTGCAGCGCCATCTAGCAGCACCTACAGTGGCCCCAGGATGAATTGCCTGCTTTTGGCCGTGTGTGCTGGTTGTTGGTTGGATTAACATGGAAACCTGCACAATGGAGGGTTAGAAGAACAGGGCTCTAGTGCTCCCTCTCACCATCTGTAATGACCCCACCTGATAGGACACCTCGTATTATACACTGTTGCTAGCAACACTCTCAGGGATCCTCACAGCTCCCTAACCTACTTAGCCATGGGGTAGGAGAGGATTGTTACACCCAGCTGACAGAGCAAATCAGGAACTGCTCAGAACCAACCAATGCAGAGAAGCAGAACAATTCCCCAAGCAGCTAATTGGTTCTGGCTCATTTGCTGAGCCTTAAAAGAGAACAACGAAGTCCTGAGTCTCCTCCGTGTCACTCCCCTCTTTCCCCCCCCCCCCCAAGCCAGCTCCGGCAGGAAGCTATGGGAAAGGGAAATGAAAAAGACAAATTCCAATGTTCTCAGTGATAACAAGGGACAAAGGCCTCAGTGGGAAAATAATTCTCCCATGTAACTTAGTGTTTCCCATGACTTTGACCAGCACCAGGTGGATCAGGCTGCATCAGCACCAAACCTCTCACAGGCTCTTACCTTCTCCACAGGGACGTCTGTCTTCTAGCTCAATTAGTTCTGGGAAAGGAGAACACTCCAAAGAGGCTCCTCCTCATGCTCATGTTCGTTACCCTGAATCCTCTCTCAGACCTCAAGGGCAGGCCTCAAGAAGGAAGACTCTCTGCAGCAAAGCCATGGGGCTCTCAGAGATTGCCCCTGCCCTGCAGCCTGTCTTACCTGGCTGTTGTCATGGACTCTCTGTGAGGTCACCACCTCCCAACGCCCTTTAGCCAATAAGCTGAGGCACCTACAAAAGGCCTTATGATATCACTGCCACACCCACACCTGGCCTGCAGGGCTAATGTCCTGCTCCTGGCCAGCCACTTTGCATGTCTGAGCTGCTCCTCTTGTGCCACCTCCATACACTCAATGTTAGTTCTGGAATCAAGCAGGCTGCACATGCAAACATCAGAGGTTGATCAGTGCCACATGCCGTTTGCAGGGATTTGCAGACTGTAAGGTTTAGCAAATTAACAATAATTTTCACAGAGAACCCACTTTTTGATACTTGGTATGGGCCAGTTCTGGGACCTTTAGAAGGGGCAAAGGCTCAGACAGAAGGGGTGTGACTGGAAGCTCCAGGGAGGCAAAGAACGTGAGAGTGTTAAAGAGAGACACTGTGTGTAAGAGACTTTGTGACACAGATTGTGGTACAGAGACAGTGTGGCACAGACTGGGGAGTGTGACAGCGACAGCATGTGTGTACTGGCTGCTGCTGTGTAAGTTTCTGAGAGAAGCCATGCACTGTCTTTAAGGAAAATCTGTCCTGCTCTGTTGTTTCCCTCCTTCCCTGCTCTGCAGTGCTCGGAGTCACTTACCATGCACACTTCAGATTGTAGCAGCTCCCCCGTATCACTCTCTCTCCCTGACCTTTGCTCTAGAGAGATGGGGTGCAGGAGAACACCCTGACTTCAGCACCACCCACTCTCTTCATCTCCTCTCATCCCCATTCCGCTCTGCACAGTGGACAGAAAAATCCCGGGAGCAGCTCTACTGCAAGTCAGAGCAAGGTGGGGGGAGGGGCAGCTGAACACAAGCTGCCCTCTGTCAGTATGCATGCTCTGCTAATCAGCTGGAAGGGCTGGAGAGACATGATTGGTGGGGCAAATCTGACCCCGGGACCTGATTTTGTCCACCCCTGTAATAAATAATACATTAGGGCTTGGACATACAACCACCTCTGCCCTTCAATCAATACAACTGCTTTCCTATTCTGTTATGGTAAGATGAACTACGGTATTACTAACATGCACAGTAAACAATAAGAAACAGAAAGCTATGTGTAAGGCACCAGACCTATAAACCAGGGGTGGGCAATAATTTTTGATGGGCTGCCACTCCAAGATTTTGGTAAGTGGTCAAGGGCCGCACTTTTCTGTGGAGGGGGATGCAGGGTCTAGGGTGGAGGTTGGGTGCAGAAGGGCACACAGGGTATGGGACTGGGGTGCAGGAGACAGCGTGAGGTCTCAGAGGGTGTTTGGGTGGAGGAGGGGACTGCGACCTGGGTCAGAGGATTGAGTGTGGGGTTGGGGAGGGGTTGTGGGTGCAGGAGAGAATTCTGGCCTGGGGGAAGGGTGCAGGAGGGAGTACAAGGTCTCGGAGGGAGTTGTCACCCAGGGCAGAAGGTTTGGATGGTGATCTGGGGGAGGGAGTTGGGGTGCCAGAGGCAGGCGCTGGCTGGGAGGAGTTTACCTAATTGTCTGGCTGGCAGCCCCAGGCCGCTTGAAAATACAGGCTGCTCCATCCACGCAGCCCTCAGCTCCGGCTGCCCCAGTCTCTCAGTCCAATCTCACTGCTCTGATTGGCTGGCTGTTCCCAGCCAATAAGAGCTGAGAGATTGACTGAGGACAGTTTTTATTGGCTGGTTGTTTCTGGCCAATAGGAGCTGAGGATTGAACTGGGGGCGGGAAGATTGCATGAAGCCTCCCCGTCCCTGCAGAGCAGAGAAACGTAGGGTCAGTGGCACTATGTACATGGCAGCTATGTGTACCTGAGGGTCCCGGCAGAGTGGTCTGAGGGCTGGATCCTGTGGCTTGGCGGGCCGGATCCGGCCCCCGGGCTGTAGTTTGCCCAGCCCTGCTATAAACTCAAAGCCTGGGAAAGTAAAATGCATTAAAATGTTTGTGCTTGGTAAACATAAATACCTATGTGTGTTACGTTAGCATGTGGATATTAACTGGAAACAATTGTAAGAACTGAGGCTATTAAAAGAAGAATACCTTATTCCTCTAAGTTTTGCTCTGTTGTCATGTCGATCAATAAGATTATGCAATACTTCCAAGACCAGCTGCCTTAGTTCTGAGTCTTCCATGAGTGAAGGAGACAATAAAGGATCAAGAAATGGGGAAGGAAGAGCAGCAGTCATAGTCTTTGCTGCATTGTACCCTGACGTCACCTGTTCGGTATTAAAGAGAATGTAAGTAGTGCCACTGTAACCCATTATTATGTTACTAGATAAGAATTATTCTTAACTCCCACTCCAATTCTGTGAGAGCAGGTTTTGTTTGGGAGAGGGGTAGTAGGTTCATTTGTAAATTAACTTGACATTTTCTGACTTGACTGCTTATTCGTGAATCCTTAATATTATCTCATATTAAAAACTGGAATTTCCGAGTCTCTTTTACCTGCTAAAAAAATATATTTAAGTTGGATATTAAAGGCACACCCTAGCTCATGAAAGATGTGCATTGAATGAAGCAACAATTTCTGCAAAGATCTGCCTCTCTTTGGGTCTGATCCAATTCTCACTAAAATCAATAGAAAGATTCCCCCATTGTTTAATTGTCTGGATCATCATGACCTCAAAGTCCTTATCCTACATTGTATCCATGTGGGCAGATACTCCCCCTTATTTGAAAGCAGTACACCATTCAATCCAAAGAACGAGGTTAGGAGCCCCATCTCATTTAATTGTCCCTTAACAGATGAACCATGTAAGTGTACAGGGGAGAGATTGTTGTGATCCTATCTACTACACTTAGCCACATATGCACCTACAATAAATGTTGGACCTCCCAGGTCCGGCACCTGAAGGAAGGAGTTTGCTGAATCAGGGGAGGTCAATCTGTCCCCTGTGCTGATGGATGGGCTCAGTCCCCCTGGCCCTGGCCACCAGGGCTCCCAGCTCCCCTCAGTTTTGCTGGTTTACAGGGGCTCTCTGATTGGACAATATCTGTGGAGCCTTGTGCCCAGGAGAGTGTGGAGTTCATCAATGGAAGCTGCCGTACTAGAGAGTCCCAGACCAGAGAGGTTCAACCTGTACAGCCTTTATTTGCATAGGAAAGTGGTAAAAATAACATTCATATTGCAAGTATTGTGTATGTAAAATGTGTTACCTTCAAGCCCCATAATTTTACCAATTTTCAGCAGCAATTTTACAGTTGAATAATTTACCAACCATACCACTTTCTGCACATCTATTTTTTGGGGAAAAAAGTCACAACTTTTTTTTTTAAATAATTGGGGAAACCGTCCCCCCCCCCCATACTCAAACAATTGATTTCTTTTTTTAAAGAAGTGTGGGCAGACCCCAGACCTAGAAAATTCCAGCCCAGAAATTCAACAGCAAATTAAAACAATGTAGTTCTAATGAAAACACACAGCTATCAAGTGTCCAACTATATAGCAAAATATAATTTAGGACTTTATGCATGTAATGCCTATATTCAGCAGTGATTCTAATTCAGTAATCAGTAAACTTATTTCCATATTACCTGAAACACAAGGTGGGTGAGGTAATATCTTTTAAGAACAAACACTTGATCTGTGGCAACCTATAACCCACTAAAATTCCTCTTCAAGCTCCCTTTCTTCCCCTCCTTTTCCCCACGTGACTGGAGGAGTGTTAATGAGCCACTTCAACTTCAATGAGCTCTTGAAATATGTTACAACTAGGTTTGCTAAGCAATTTGTTCCACTGTGTATTTAGCTGGAACACACTGAGTAAAATTCCCTAGACCAAAGAGCTGTGTGTAAGCTCAAACTTATGTCTCAAGCAGAAATTGATCCAATAAAAGGTATTACCTCACAGCCTTGTCTCTGAGGCTGTGTCTACATGGCACAGCTTTTAGAGACTCAGATATGTTGTTAAAAGTCTGGCAGCTGTTTGTTGACACTTTTGCTGACAAAATATTTCCATGCCCTATGAGCGGAGTTCCTGTTGTCAACAGGAGAGCGCTGTTGTCAACAGGAGAGCGCTCTTGTCAGCAAATAACTGGTTACACAGTGACAAAGCTTATTTTTCATGGTGGAAATGCTCTTTAGACACCTGAGTGCGACAGAAGTTGTATCATTCAATTTTCAGCATAAACAAAAGCTATATCCTGGGATCACCATACTATAACACAACTGCATGCCATGTTACTTTTCAAATAGAAAAATCCAAGCATAATATAATAAAGGTTTCTAATGCCCTCTGTCTGTAGAGAAATGTATGACTTAACATTTATGTAGTGCTTTTAGGCACAGATTCAGAAGAGCCCAGAACTCAGCACTTCCTAATTAGGCACCTAAACAGGTGATCAATCTTTCAAGAGTGCATAGCAGTAAACAACCATCACTAGTACTGCATGCTATTCCCTTTTGAAAATTTGGCTACTGTGACCTGGTATATCTACACAACAGTGTAAGCCCAGGCACTAGGGATGTAAAGGTAACTGGTTATAGAGTAAGCATCACCCTTATCAGATGATGTGTCCACAACAATGACCAAAACATAGTTTAAGTCACTCTACAGATATTTTGCCTTCTCTACCAGTAATGGTTATTAAAATCAACTGATAAGATGTTTCCTAAAGCCCGGGACCATTTAATAAATTTCATATTTAAGTACAATTTGAATTGCTGAAGGAAGTTTAACATTTTAAAAAGTATGTGTGAAAAAAATGAATATTTCTAATTATGCTTTTTAAAAGAATGAGGGAGGCTTGGGAGGCGAGGCACTTGAGAGTAGTGATGTCTGAAATGCTATTCCATTTTAAGACATAATGCCTCCTGAGGCATAGGGAAGTTAATAAGTGCCCATTGCTATACCTTAGAGTATAGAAAGTGCCCTACCAATTACAGCTCTCCTAGAGGTAAAGAGGGAAAAGAAGTTCCAATTTGAGGTTGCTAGCACTGCTGGCAGAACTAGATGCTTCAACTTCCTGACATTCTTTGGGCCTACAGCCCCTATTATGACTGCTATCCTCTAAACTACTCTGGGGGAATGGAAGATTATCTCTGATACTTGTAAAGAACTTGTGCTTGAGCAGCTGTGATTTTACTCTAGATATCTACATATCTTGGCAGTTTGAACATGTACAACCCATTTCATAACTTCACCAGGAGCAAAACTCTGTGCATTTACAGAATAAGCTGTCTTTAAAAAGTATATTTAACAAATAAGACTTACCATAAGTAAAGATCTCAGCAACATGATCTGAATCCGCCTGGTTCCCAAATCCCTAGAATCAGAGGAGAAGGGGGAAGATATTCAAGCTAACTTTTGAGTCAATTTCTTGGATTAACTTCAAAATACTCTCTAATTACTTCTAGTGTGTCAAGAGAAAACAGCAAACTAGGAGAGTGAAGTATAACATTAAAAGAAAAGGGTGAATATCTACTAAAGAAGTAAATGGAGAAAAGACTGTTTCAAAATGATAGTTACAGAAGACACACAAATGAGTAAGCAATTAGGCACAAAAAACCCATACACAGTAACACAGGACAAAGCTGTAAATGGAGAGGGGCTGAAATTTCACAAGTGTCTCAGTTTTGAATGCCTACTTATATGAAGTGCTGAACATAGTACATGTTGAGCCTAAACAACAGAAGTGCTGAGCACTGGTAGTTTCCAATGAATCCAAGTGGAATTATAAGTGCTCTGTACTTCTGAAAATAATCAAGCCTTAATTGTCCAAGTTGAACACCCAATTTAAAAAAAGAAAAAGCAGCCATCTGAAATTAAACAAATTCAGTATAATTTCTCCAGCATTATACCTTCTTAATCTTAAAGGTAATTAGCATAGAATGAAACAGAAAACCTTCTGAATTATTCAGCTGTCTATAAAATTTGTAGCCAGAAGACAACTCCATGACTAAGAAAGCATACTTCATAAAAAGTGTACTGATTTTTAGAAACACTTGTATAACTTTGAAATGCAGAAATTTTGTAGTCCATGATACATAGGGCTTTCCAATCAACTGTAATTAAAGTTGCATTTTGGACACTGGAGTCATGTTGCGGTCACCGAGTGAGGTTTGTTTCTCTATCACATTTCACAGAAACTTAGAAGCTGGAGTTACTTTAAATTCCATTTTTTAGAAGTTCTACTTTAGCATGGCATCAGAACAAGGCAGAGCTCACATTCAGAAGCTCAAAAGAAACAAAGTACAAACCCAAGGTGGCTTGTATCCAGCGAATGGGAGGATATCCCAAAAACAGGTACTTTCCCCATAATGAACATCATGATCTCTGACCGTTGGTAATCTGGGAGATTGCTCCCAAAAAACCCTAAATAAAAAGAGAGAAAGATGACTTTCAGGCTTCTACTCTCTTTATATAGAAAGGTTCATAAATTTAAGAAATAAAATACCTACTCTATCTGGGTCTCCTATATCTTTGGAAATCTTCTAGTTTGTATTATGGCAGTCACATAACTACTGAGTCGTCATCTGTACAACTCTGTATATACACCATCTTGTCACAAATGCCTCATTCCCCCTTTTCCCCTAACACAATTTTTACTCTCATCTTTCCAGAATAATTATACTATTTAAACCAGGGAATGTGACATTAATTGGAAGTTAACAGAGTCCTCAGAAGCTGGAAACTGTCCAAGCTAGAACAAAATTCAACTTCTTACCTTTGAACTTTCTTATACCAGTATTAAACATGAATGAAGTAATTCAAAGACCTCTTACAAGAATATGACTATGCTCTTGCTTCACCTACAAACTTCAATACAGCAATGTTAAATCTGGATTTATGACCTGAAAGATTTCTAAAACTATGACAAAGCTTTTCTTTAGAAAATTGAGTCTTACAACAAAGTTGAGAAATAGTTACTGCAGCTATAAGGGTTAAAGTATAAAGAAATTTAAGAAAGATTAATTTTCTAAACAAAGTATTTGAGGTAATCAGAGTTAAATAATTGGGGGATTTTAAAATAATAGTTTACATTAAACGTATAGCAACACAAATAGCACTAAAGTAACAGGCATGTCTGAAAAGAGAGCTAAGTTTTGCTAAACAAATTATTTACAGAAGGGGATGCTAACAGAATTTTATGTATTTTGGAAACACAGCAGTAATCCTGCAAATACAAGTAGCATTAGGTGTCATTGGTGTTGCTAGCTGTGACTTCTGAACAAATCTGCAAACAGTAACAATTAAAATTCATCTTACTACAGTATACTGAGATACCCATGTGGTTGTTATATCATGTAGCTATGGGTGATACACAGCGTACATTAAATATGGAAATTTAAGGGAGAAGCTTTATATTTAAAGTCTCAGAGGGGCAATCGAGTTCGTCTGTATCTGTAAAAACAACAAGGAATTGGAATAGTATTCATTCTGATTAAGTGGGTTTTACTCACGAAAGCTTATGCCCTAATAAATCTATTAGCCTCTAAGGTGTCACAGGACTCCTCATTTTTATATTACAAGGGTTAGGTTTTAGGAAAGAGTAATAAACTCATAGTTTTTGTTCATATTAATCAATAATGTAACTGCAGAAGTGACAGCTTTCCAAATGTATTGTGCCTTGGCCCAGTTAACATGTAAAAAGACAGCTCTCTCTAATTCTCACCCTCACAAACTTCGCTTGTGTTCTAAAAGTTGGTGCAGGTAGACAACTCACTCTTATTTTGGTGGTAATGAAGGGGAAAAGAGAAGAGGTGAATGAGATCTTTACTTAATGGAGTGCTCTGTGTTTAGACTTTCATACCCATCAATTTAAGTGAAGTTATTGAAGTGAGTCCATGTTCAACAGACCAAAAAAAAAAAAAAACCTACACACTTTACTCACCAATTGTTTGAATAATGGCATTCTGAACAATCCTTTCATCGCTTTCTTTGGAACTTGTGCTGAAACTGGCACTGCCAGTTGAGCTACGCCTATCACCTAATTCAAAATCAACACTAAGACGCAAGTGCTTCAGTAGCGTGTTAAACACTTCTAAGACTGTTGGTCCTGTGGAGTAACAGATATTAATGATAACCAGAGGTGAACTCGATTTGTTTGAGGGAGAAAATAAGCAGTCAAATTCAGAGTCTTCAACACAAAACCATAGGAAGCATTATGGCTATTTTAAAAATGGTGACACTCTTAATTAGCACACATAAGAGTGCCTACATCCCAGAAAATCTATCCCTGCGTCTCTTGAAAATGGGACTTCACATTTTACACATACCCCCCCTAAAATCCTGACCCTTCCAGGCTAAGAGCCAATAATAGTAGAATTTAAATGCATGTTCTCACTGAAGTCTAAAGCTTTGTCTACATTTGGAAGATTAAATACTTCTAACAGGTGTCATCAATTGAACATACATACACTCGTAGTGCCACTAATGGATTGTCTACACCAGTGTCTCAACCTTTTTTATAAAGTACCCCTTTAAAAAAAATGATAAGTACCCCCAGTATCTACAGTTTTCAGTCACATTTTTTTTTCTACCATTGCAACGCATTGCTTTAAACAAGTTAATTGTAGCCGGGAGGACGATGACATTTTTGGGTGTAAAAAAGTACAAAAATAAAGCGCTGTAAAACTTAACACAAAAATTCAGTTTTCTCCAAATTTCAGTTGTGTTGATGTACCCCACAGACTTCTCTTGAGTACCCCTAAGGGTACTCGTCATATCACTGGTTGAGAAACACTGGTCTACACTACCAAGTTTTGTTGACAAACTTACGCTGACACCCAAAAGTTGACAAAAGTCACCAGAAGGAGTTCACACTTACTCCCTCCGTCGACAGACTATGTCCACATTGGAGGCACCTTCATTGACAATGTGAGCAAATTCATTGTGGGTATGTATCCTACAGTAAAGTGCTGTGAAAAGGCAGAGCTGGTTGCTGGGCATGTTGGGATTACTCTCCCACCCCTGAGTTCTCCCACAGCCTCCTCAACTGCCAGGAGCAGTGTCACAAGTAGCTCTGTGCCAAAACAGCACAGTTGACTGTCCCTCTCCCACTGCAGCAGCAGTCTGCTCTATTCCTAGAGCAGGGCAGAAAAGGGGCAGTCCAATGATTTGCTCTTTGTTCCCCAAACACAGCAGCACACTCAGCTGTCGATACTAGAAATGGGACAGCTGCATGCCTGCAGAGAAGCAGGAATCAAAACAAAGAGCAGAGGGATCAGGGCAGGCATTGTGGGATATTGGCTGAAGCCAGTTCTGTTGACAAAACAAAAGCAGAGTCTACACTGGCTCTTTGTAAACAACAATATGAGGGGGGAAGGGAATCTTTGATAGGGGTGGAAGTTTTTTGCTGTCAAAACTGGGAATTTTTCCTGACAAGTCATTTTTCAGTATAGGGATGTAAAATCCTGTATAAATGGTTAAGTGGTTAAAAACTGGACAAATTATTCTTCTTATCCTCTGATAGGACAAGCAGCAATAGGCTTAAACTGTAGCAAGGGAAGTTTAGGTTGGACATTAGGAAAAGCTTCCTAACTGTCACTATTCCAGTGCTTAATCACAAATTGCCTAGAGAGGCTGTGGAATCTATTATTGGACATTTTTAAGAGCAGGAGAGAAAAACACCTGTCAGGGATGGTCTAGATATTGCCATGAGTGCAGGAGACTGCATTTGATGACCTCTTGAAGTTTCTCCCAGTTCTATGATTCTATGTATGTAGGTCCATGAAAAGCACCTCTCCAAACAGGTGCACTGCTGTGTCTCGATTTCTCCTCCTATTCAGAGCTGAACAAAGTCAGAAACAATGTTGAATTTCATGATAAAGTCTCTCCTCTAGGATTTCAGTTATTAAACAAAAATTCAGCATTGTATCTGAAGTTCTCAGGTCCCTTTAGGTTCTTCCCCAGAGTTTCACAAAATCTACTTTTGTATCAGAATTTCATTGAATTTCCTTAGCAAGAACTCCCAACGGTCTTGGTCCGTTGTGAAAGGAGCTCTGCCAGGACTATTGCTGGTCTTTGTGGAGATTCTTATACATTAGTCTCTCTCTGACTAACCAATAGGTCTCGTTTTTCTCCTGTAATTACTCAAATCTACATTCTGTAGAATTCCTGGTTGTAAAGGGCAGAGGCCCTGTAACGGTAATGGTAGGTCCACACTTACAATTATAGAACCAGTGCTCTGGAACAAATTCTAAGTGCTAAAAAAAAAAGGAGGGCTAGTTCCATTTGCACCAAAGAGAACAAAAAATGTGATTTAATTTTAGATTAAAAAAAAAAAAAAGCTACAGTGGTAAAAATTGCAACCAACAGTTTAAATTTGTATTCATTCTGAAACTCGTTGAAATAGTTCATTGGTTTGATACATTCACTTGCCATCACTCACCTATGGATCCTTTAGCAGCAATGGCAACTGCTTCTAAAAGAACCTGGATAATGCCTGCTCGGACTCGTGGTGAATCCCTTTTGCGAGCATCAAGGTGTCCAAGTGTCTCCTGTATTACATGATGGGAATACTGTGCCTGCAAAAGAATTGTTTTTTTTACTTTTCCAATTAAAGATACCTCCACACACAATCACTCAGCCTAATAAGTGGTGCTCCCCTTCTCCTTAGCACTGTTTTGGGACACTGTGACAGACTGTCACTGGTCGGGGGGCGGGGCGGCCGGAGCCCCGGTCGGCAGGAAGCCGACACTTGGGAGCGGACTCCCCGGCGTTCCCCCAGCGCTAGCTGGAGGCGGCAGCGGGCGGAGGCACTCCCCCCGCGCCTGCGCCGGCTGCGTCGTTACGGCTCCTTCCCCGCGTCCCCGGATGGCGGGGGCGGGAGGGAGCAAACCAGCTGGGCAGCGGGGCACGGCGCGGCGACGTACCCGGAAGGGGCGGGGCCACAGGGAGCGGCGAAGCACGCA